AAAACTAACATTGGGAAAGTTCATCTAAAATCCCTTATTTTTCCCTAGAAAAAGCTACAGTAAAACAAGTGTTGCTTTACTTCACGCGTGAAGGGATCCTCAGCTCCCAAATTCTTCGACATGAAGGAATTAATGCAGCCTGTTTCTAAATAGGGCAGAGCTCAGAACATCTGAAGGTCTCTGTGGTTGGTAGGTGGGAATCTCCTAATGATCTTAGTTATTTTTATACATGCCTGATACCGCACGTTATGCTGCCCTAATGCAGAGGAGCAGCTCCACCATCACCAAGGAAGGACACAAAGCTCTGGCGGAGGCAACTGTAGGAGAGAAAGGGGAAAAAGAAAGGAAAACATAGAAAAAGGTGAAATAGCAAGAGACAACATTAACATCAAATAAAGGCACAAGACAACGAGAAGAAGAAGAACGAAGAAAAAAGCCACAGAGGTGTTAAAAGGACAATACAAGCAAAGGACTTTGGCAGGGGTTTCCTTTTGTTCCTTCTTATTTCTTCATCTTGCTTTACGGAGCAAAATGGGACAGCAGTTCACCAACACTGAAGGGGAGCAAACAGAGATCGATGTTGCTGAATTGCAGGAATGGTACAAGAAATTTGTGGTCGAGTGTCCCAGCGGGACCCTCTTCATGCATGAATTCAAGCGGTTCTTCGGGGTCCAGGACAACGTCGAAGCAGCGGAGTACATTGAAAGCATGTTCAGAGCTTTTGATAAGAATGGGGTAAGTGGTGAGGGGTTTTTACAATTATTTGTTTAATAATTTGCACCACTCCCTTCTGCGATTTGGAGGTGTTTTGGTGTAACTCCTATGCTTTTTGCTCTGCTTCATGAGATGAAGGCAAGGGCAATGGACCTGCAAGGGCAGGAGACAGACACACGCTGCACCTCTCTATGGGCTGGTGAGGATTTATCCTCTTGTAAATCTGCACACAAATTAAGGACAGAATGTTCCCTTAAGGGACTAAGGATGGATTAAAAGGGTGAAATTTAGGCAGTCATGTTTTCAGACAGCATTGTTGAAAGATCCTTAAATACCCAAGGTTGCTACATGGAAAAAAATATTTATGTTATGCTAGAGGGGGAATGATAATGTGGGAAAGTCCTACTCAGACTTGGTATACACCAGAGGAAGTGTATATATACAGAGTGAACAGGTGGCATGTAACAAAATATTGATTTTAGCTGCTGGAAAGTGGAGGAATGCTGAAAATTCAGACATTCTGGGTTTGATTTCCTTTGTTGTATTTGCCAACAGACACCTGGGAAAAGCAGGCTTTCTGGTTCAGGAGCAGCTCATGCATAGCCATGTATTGGTGCAAAAGACAGCGTAATACCAGCCTGTGGTATTTCAGGTAGTAAAAAGAAATGCAATACAGTTGCCTTTCTCATCTTTAAATGGGTAAGCAATGCTTGCCAAACTGTTCAGGTTTTTTTTCTGAAGCTCTTCATCGTACTCAAAGTACGGGGTTGGTTGTTGCTGTGTATCCACACAGGAAAAGGAGAGGCAAGTAGTCATCTCTGGTATACCAATTGCCTTAAGTTTCCTTTGAAACCAGTGACAAAATCACACTGAGGTGGTGACAAAAGTCAGTTTGTGAGAAAGGATAAAGCCAAGATGTGGCAGATCAGACTTACTTAAATTTGAAGTTGGCAAAACCCAGGTTTCTGCAAAAAACTGAAGGTCCAGGACCAAATCCTGTTATGAAAACTGTGCAGAAAGGGCTGCAGAGCAAACTGTGTGCATGAAAGGTGAAGCTCCTTTCCTGGTTTATAGGAGTTTTATAAGACTGAAAATCTGTTTCCAAGGGATGCTGGTACTTGCATGTATTAAGAATGCTAAATTAGACCTAGGGTCATGTGTTTGCTTAAATATGCCCAGGGTATGTAATCAGTTGAGCAGGACCTAACAAACGAAAGGATTATTAGTAACACAGTGAGGAAACAAAACCAGATCCTCAGTCTTTTTATGCTTACTGCCCTGCAAAGGGCAGCAGTAGTGGTTTTTGCTCATGGGTACCACAGAGCATCTCGGTGCAGGGAGGAGATGCTCAGCCCGGATCTTCCAGGGGTTTGATCCCAGGGTCAGGAGGGCTCTGAGGTGATGTGGGGCCCCGGTTTCTGTGAGGTGACGTGGGGTCCTGGTTTCTCTGAGGTGACGTGGTGTGGCCCCAGCTCAGTCCTGGGATGGTTTTGATCTGTGTGAGGTTTCTGAGGGAGCTCCGCATCGCTTTGCTGCCTCTGAAGTTTTTAGGAGGGTGAACACCTGGTGTAACCCCTTTCCTGTGAGGGTTCTTGCTGCTTCCTCCTGAAGGTGACTTTTTTATGGCCATAGTCTTCCTCAGGTGAATTAAGATCAAACAGGAGGGAAGGATGGACGGAAGGTGCAGTGGTTGGGTGTTGGTCTCAGCTGAGGTCACTGAGAGTGGCAGTTCCTTCCCAAAAGCCAATGACTCCTGCACTGATCCTCATCTGTAATCTGTTGTCTTGGGGTATTTAGATTGCTCATTTGTGTCCCCCTCCTTATAGCACTGCAGGAGAATGGCTTTGCTCTCCACTGTCACTCTCCTCATGGACTCATCCTTGGTGCAGGAGGCTATGGCTGTGCTTACTGATGGTCTTGAACTGGCACAAATCTTCTGTAACGTGGCAAATAAATAGCTGTCCTGTGGATTATCTTTTTGGCAGTTTTATCCAGACTATGTAAGCAGTTCTCCATCAACTATACCTGGTTAAAAGTCATTCAGCTGCTGCTTTTCTGTTCCTATAGGATAATACCATAGACTTTCTGGAATATGTAGCTGCCTTGAATCTTGTTTTACGAGGAAAACTGGAGCACAAGCTGAGGTGGACATTCAAAGTGTATGACAAGGATGGGAATGGCTGCATAGATAAACCTGAGCTGCTGGAAATTGTTGAGGTAAGTAAGCATTGCCTCATCACCCATTTCAGCAATCGCAGTTCTTTGGCAATGTGATGAGGTGTATGGGGTTTGTGATAATCAGGTTTCGAGGCCACTGTGAGCAGTGCTGATGTGAAGATGCCTGACCCTGGTGAAAGGGTCATGTACTGGTTTGGACACTGGTGGGGTGGCTGAGGGATGGGTTAACCCCACTGCAGGCAGCCTGGGCCCTGCTGCTGTCCAGAAATGCAGCGCCTGGGTGCTGCTGTGGGGTCCCTGTGTCTGCTCTGCCTTTCCTCAACCTTTTTACACCAAGATCCATTGCACTGGCCAGTGGAAGAGGGCTTCACACCATGCTCCTTTCCTGCCCAAGTAGCTGGTGGGAATACACAGAGAGGCACAAATTAGCGCAGAAATCCCTTTGGTAATTATTCCTTTCTGGGTTTCTGCACTTAGCTTTAATGAGTGGGAAGGTGTGAGAGAAAGCATGGGGCTCAGCAGTCAGACATGGGTGCCTGGGTCCTTAATTTAGGTGAATAACTTGGTGATCGTGCTGGAGTTCCTCCTGCACCATGAGTGTGTTACCTTTGCACTTGTGAAGCTCAATGGTTATCTAATATTTTAGGATCTTGGGGGAAATGCAGTGTCAAGAAAGCATCAGAAATGGAGCCTGTGGAAAGGAGGTCATTTTGGCTGGCCGGGGTGACGGGCTGTTACCTGCTGCACCAGCAGCAGGTGTGGGAGCTCCGGGACAGGCTCAATATAGTTTCGAGGTCAGCCAGGAATTGGCCAGAGCTGTGCAAGGCCATTGCTAATCCCCTCTCTGGGAGGACTTTAGACAAAATCCTTCAGCCCAAGGAGTGCAGTTCATAATGGACAGGGAGGTGTCATGGGAGGAACAGAGAAAATCTGCCCCTTCCAGTGACAAAGCGGAACAGAAACCATAGGTCAAGATATGTGCTAATACAGGTTTGATCTTGCAGCCTAGGAGAGGGCTGGGTAAGTCCAGAGGTGCCTGGCCTCAGATGTTAGGGAAAAAGCCTCATATTAAAAAGTCAGATTATTTTCCCATCTGTGAAACTCTTGCCTTGTTCTTGGCAAAGGAACCCTGAGGTCTGGCCACTGTGTGTGAGAAAAATAGGAGGGCAGCAGCTTCAAAGAGCAGATGAAGAAATCGCAGTGTCTGTGAGCATAAGGTCGAGGTTTCAGCAAAGGTCTGAGGCTGTTGAGTGGCTGATAGTTCTAGAAAGGTCAAAACCACAGCCTTTGTAAGAGACCTTTGCGCTGTTGGGAAGATAATGGAGTTCACTGCTTTTCATCTTCCAGTCCTCCTCCTAACCTGTGAACTTCTTTCCAGTCTATCTACAAGCTGAAGAGAGTGTGTCGGTCGGAGGTGGAGGAGAGGACCCCGATGCTGACGCCAGAGGAGGTTGTTGACAGGATATTTCAGCTGGTGGATGAGAATGGGGATGGTGAGTGATCGATGGCTCCGATTGCATTCACATGTAATGAAGTTATCAGTGCTGGGCAGGCAAGCTTTCATTACATCTATCAAGAAATCACTGAGGACTATTACGTTACTCAGCCACGTTGGGTTTGGTTCTGGTCTGGTTGTTAGAATCAAGAATAACTTGATGCAGTGGGAGGAAATAATCTTCATTGTTATTAATGCAAAATACAGAGTGGTCACTGTTGTGTCTGGATTTGACACCACACAGGTCTGGTGCTCTGAAAGCACCGGTGCAGGTCGCAGTCCCAGCACAAATGCCATGAGTAAAGGCAGCGGCTTCAGTCAAACTGGAGCTGGCGGCCTCAGACCTGCAACCCTACCTGTGAGCTGAGGCAGCATTTCATGGTAGCTGGTGGGATGAGGAAGGTGTCAACACACTGGTTACAGCGTGGGGTTTGTCTGTCAGCTTGCTGGCCTGAACTACATGGGAAAATGAAGTACAGCTTTTGTCTTATTGGCAAAGATGAATTGGCATTTCTGAAGCATAGATGGTATTTACTTCCTGCCTTCCTCTTCTTACCCGTCATATTTTGCCTTCTCATCTTGTCCTCCTCATCTCCACACAGGGCAGTTGTCTCTTGATGAGTTCATTGATGGGGCCAGGAAAGACAAGTGGGTGATGAAGATGTTGCAAATGGATGTAAACCCCGGGGGATGGATCTCAGAGCAGAGGAGAAAGAGCGCTTTGTTTTGAGAAAATTCAGATTTGATACAGCTGAAGATGTGACGCTGACTGCAACTGAGGCTCTTACTCCGGGGTGGTAGTGGTTTTCCTCTTAATACAATCTCAGCATCCAGATGAAAACTTCAGTGGTTTAAGAAGCCGTATCTCAATCTAAAACCCATGTGCTGCACACTGCTGGTACCCAGAGACTATTTTTGGCCCATGAATAAGTCTTTCTGTGTACACAATACCATGTTTGCCAGCTCTGGTTTTTGGTTACACCCCAAGGAACAAACTTTTTGTGGCTTCCTGCAGTGGATCCTGGGCAGGGTTTTGTGCTGATGACAGAAGGGATCCCGACTCAGCGGTGCTGTCCCCAGTGCAGGGCAGTGTTTGCGACATTGGTGTCTGCAGAGGTACGAACACAACCAAAAGTGACGGCAAAAGAGGTGCTCTGGCAGCATTTGCACATCCAAGATGTCTGCGTGTGCATTCAGCAGACTGTACTACTGCCAATGTGAAATTATTCAACACCAACATATGGCTATAGAAAATGGAAATTGGATTGTAAGTGGTAGCCAAGACGGCTCACAGAGCTGAGGAAAATGCAACGTGTGGGCTGGGCAGGGGGAGCAGAAACCCCTCACATCTCCCTGTATGTGTTCAGGGACCTGGGTGCTGTGGGGCTGGAAAAATGCAGTTTCCAAGCACTGAGCAGTAGTAGAAATTGTCCCTGTTCCCAACAGCCCGCATTTAGAGGACAGATTGGCATGGATGCGTCTCTGTGCCTCTTGAGCCCCCTGAATGCTCACCCCAGAGCAGCTTCCCCTGCCCCACAAAGGCTGAAGGAGCTCGGGGAGCTCCAGGGCTTTCCCTGCACCAGGCGAAGTTTTGTGCAAGGAAGGGGTAAGGGAGGAGCAGGGCTTTGCTGGGCAGTGCCTCTGCAATGAGGGGATTAACGCTGCTTTATCGGCAGCACCACAGAGAGGAACAAGTGACAAAGTCCGAGGGAATGACTGAAGTACAGTGGTTTTACACTGGACTTAATTTAGCCACAGACTATAGACGTAAAATTTGCACAGGCTGTAGACTGAGCTCTGCTGTTGTAACCCATATTCCTACGTACATACATGTATGTGGAAAGAGAATTTGGGTTGAACCAATATTTTGGTTCACCTTTATTAAATTTATTAGTTTGTTTGCAAGAAAAATTTCCCCAGAAAAATAACATGAACTTGTTATATTTTATTTTTCCTGTGGGATCAGTGGACCGTGTAATACCCACGAAAAGATTTACAATCCCTTTTTTGTGGCCTTTAATTGTGACTGTGGTATCTTCCATTAGTTGATTAGTTTGCTGGTTTGTGCTCTGGTCAATTTAAACATTAAAATTCAGGAACATGAAGTATTCAGACAGGATCAGTGCTAGAGTTCAGGCGCACATACATTTCCACTTCCAAACAGCCTTTTGGAGAGTTCTCTGTAAATGCACGCTAGCTTGTGGCGTGCTCGTTATCAGACACTTATCAGACTTCCAGCTCATGCTGCTCTGAGGCAGCTGCTTAAAGCTGGTTCAAGTCAAGTTTATCAGCCAAAGGTCTGAAAGAAAAATCTTACTTCTGACTTGAGAGTCTGGAAGAAAAGATTCAGTTTTCCAACTTGTGAGCATATGTTTTCATGGGAGGATACAAATCTCCAATTCCTTAAATTTCAGCGTCTTGACCAATGTAACACGCTCTGCTGCTTGCACAATTCTGAAGTGAGTTTTTAGTTACTATAGTTGCATATCCAGGTTTACTCAAATGCTTGACATTTTCCTGTTCTGGTCAGGTCAGGCACCCAGGGAGCTGTTTTGGTGTCCCCGTGCCCGCAGTCCTCTGCCGGGGTGGTAGAGGGCATCCTAACACCGAGCACTCCTGCTGTTGGTAGAGGTTTTGTAACGATGACTTTAATAAAGAACGATTTACTAAAATCTCATCTGTCCTGTGGTATTTATTTTTCTCTTGGAATGAAGGCGAAGATCTGCATGAACACCTGAGTGTCTGACAAAGTTGTGGTCTTTAAGGCAGACATAACAAATTTAAGGGAGGTGTTGAGTGTAGCAGCTAACCTGGACAAGACGAATGTAAGGCAGAGCTGGGGATGCTGTTTGGACCCTGCCAGGACCAAAAGAGAAACCTTAAAGAAATTAGGGCTCAAAGTGTTGCACTCAGCGGGACGTGGGACCCCTCCACCTCCTTGGTCTGGGCAGATGATGCTTGTGTTAGTGCTGGCATAACCCAGTGGAAAAGTGTTCTCCTTATCGATTGTGTAATCTTTTGTCAAGAAATAGCAAGGTGCTTTAGTCTTAGAGCTATTTTTAAATCCAGAGGTATAAACACTTTGATCTCCTCCCAAACTCCATTCACCATTCACATCAAGCAGTTGATGTCAGATATTTTGCATAATCCATTTTCCAGACTTACAGCCCAGCTACAATTGGATTTGACTGATCGGATTTCTTTTTATTCTAAATGGGGAAACAGGATGGCATGGAAAAGGCAAATGCTATGTGACTTTCTTGAGCTCTTACCATCTGCTCCAGTGTTTGATGCCTCCGAAGCTGGGTAGGATTGAAGGTGAAATAATCGGGTTAGAAAGCTGGAGGTGAGGCTGCTGCTGGAGGTGGCTGATGGGGAGAGGGAATGGGACCCAAGGAGGCTTCGCATCCCAAAATACGTTGGAGGGCGCATTCCCAGGGAAAGCGCTGAGCAGCAGAAATAACGAGGAAGAAGGAAAGAGGATAATTGCATCAACTGTATGCTGAGCCATGCTGTTGGTTTGTCTGTACCCCTGATGCTCTGAGAGGAGAGGTTTCCCCCAGGTACCTGGGTTTGGTGGCTGCCCAGGGGACAGGTTTGTGTCCAGGCCATCCCCAAAGCACCCATGTGCATCTTCCCCTTGGGAGCATCCCACTGAAATACAGAGGACTTACACAGCCCCGCGCTGATCTCTGGAGGGACTTTGTGGTCCCACCGTACCTGGTGGTTTTCTCACAGCACCCATGCTGGGCTCTGACTGCATGGAAGAGTATTCATTGCTTTCTTTCCTCCTCCTTTCCAAAGGAAAGTGCACCTCGGAGGTTTAGAATTGCCCTCAAATGTGCTACCCTCAAAGATCTCATATTTAAGGTAACTAATGCGGTTCTGGGATCTGAGGTGTGACATGGGAACAGCGGAGCTGTGCTTCAGGCAGCCGCGTCCCCTGGGGATAAGGGACCTGCAAATCACCTGGCTGAGAACCTGTTTGGTTTCATTTCTTTACCTTTCAGGGCTCACACCCAAATGCACGGGGATGCAAAAGGGGATATTTTTGCACTCTGCCATCCTCCGTACCTGGCCTCATCATCTACTTCTCTTTGATTTAGCAAATCCCAGCCCCCAGCAGCTCTGTTCCCAGCACCTTCCCAGAGGGCTCAAGCTGCTCCCCCACAGGATCTGCAGTGTCTGTCCCATTACGCAGGCAGAGAGCACAGATGGGATGGGACAGGATGAGGATGGCTCCCAAAATTCCCTCTCCCACACTCACTGGAGAGGCTGTGCTGGCTCTGTTCACCAGTGAGATTGTCCCAGGGTGAGCAATGCATCCTGAACAGCCACAACTCTATTGAATTAATTAATTATGCACGAGTTGGGGCAACGAGCATCACAATATTAGTTTTTAATTCTTTTTGATTTGCTTTCTTAGAGGCTGAAAAAACATCCTTTGGAGAGAGGCGCTGAGGTTTGCCAGGTGCCTTCAGCCAGGCGGCAGCTGTGCGCCCTTTTAGCTTGACTTTGTATCCAGAAATGGGGCTGCTCAGGGCTGCTCACAGCCCCTTGGGCACACAGAGAGGCTGGAGGGAGCGTGGGAGGACTGGATGTGCCTACATACAAATGTCGATAGGTAAAGAGTTAATCTGTCCTGCTGCAGAGTGAATGGTTGCAAGAGAGAAAAAGCACAAGCTGAAATAATCCTGTAAAATATCTTTATTAGTTCACTATAAGATCGGAAGTACAAAAGCTTCCAGGTAAAACGCTGTCAAATGAAAAAGACGCATAGGAAAAATGGTCAGAAAGTTGTTTATGGATTGCAAGCATCCAGTGCTCAATAACAAGTCTTTCAGCTGGGCAAGAAACCCTTCCCAGTGCCCGGTGCTGCCTCACCACAGCTGAAACACGCTCCCAGCAGGTGAGGAAACCTGTCCTGGAGCAGCCCGGGGGCATGGGGGGCACAGCCTCCCTTGTGCCTGTGCTGGGCGCTGGGATCAGCACCCGCAGATGTGTCCTGGGTGCTGTCACAGGGGGTGACTGGGTTTTATCCCAGGGGGGACGATGCCCATCGCCTGCCCAGGAACACCCAGGTACGTACGGGTACTTGTGGAGCAAGTGCTGTGTCCAGCCCGGCTCTGGCATTGCACCCCTCCGAACTGCGAACTGCGGGCAGACCATTCACTGCCCTCAGGGTTAAAGATGCTCGAGGGTGCCACGGCGTGTAGGAGAGTTTAAGTTTGTTGTACAGGTGATAAGACAGGCAGGAATATTCATACAGACACTCAAAACTTTTCCCTTTTACTGCCATTGCGGCCCTTCCAGAGGTTTCAAGGAGAAACATGCCCTTAAAGTTCAGATAGTTGTTAAAAAAAGGCACCATTCTGTTTTTAATGCTTTTAGACAAAGAAAAGCCACTGCACTCACTGCTCCACCACTCTCCTTTTTCTACCTTTGATGTCTCTATCTTATACTGTCACTAATGGTTGCTAACAGAATAAAAACAAATCAAAGAACAAGTGACCAAAACTGCTGATTTTGTGCTATGGAAATACATGAGAAAAGAGAAGGTTCAGGTCTGCTTTCGAGGTGTGCACATGTGTCCTTGGGGGACCCCTGTCACCAGGGCCAAGTGCTGGGCAGCGCTGGGGTCCATCTCCCGCAGTGGCTGCAGACATCTGTGCTGGCCATGGCCTCGGGGGGGATTTTGAGGCTCTCTTGGTGCGTTACCAAACTGCATAGTGTGGGGCGAGGCTCTCCCCATCTGCTCAGCAGCAACATCCATAGGCACCCACGCAGTGAAGGGCCCCATGGCCCCGTTGGCCACCCCAGGGGTGGCTTCCAGCACAAGGAGCTGCCATCACGGCATCCCCTCCTCACAGCAGCCGTTCCTCTCACTGCTGCGGCAGGGCCAG